CGCTGAGCGGGGAGCCCAATGCAGGGCTTGATCCCAGGACCCTGGGATCATGACCTGAGCCAAAGGCAGCCGCTTAACTGACTGAGCCACCCAGGCGCCCCTCCCATGGACTCATTCTTGATTCCTTACTTTGTCTCACGTCTCTAATAAACTCCGTTAGCAAATCCTCTTGGTCCTGCCTTAAAAAATATATCCAGAATCTGACCATTTCTCCCCTTCCACTGACACCACGGTGATCTTTTATGTGAATTACTGTAACAGGTCCCCTTATCTCAACTTTTGCTGACTCTATGGTCTATTCTCAAGATAGCAGCCAGAGTGATACTTTGAAGGACCTCAAGAACCTGGAGTCCCCTCAAGAACAAATTATGAGGAATGTATTCCCAACAGCAGGAAAGAGGAATAAAAGGCTGAAGTCTCTGAGAAGACCAAGCACCCATTCTTCAATGAAGAAGGAAGAGGCTGGGAATTCCAACTTAAAGGAGTGCAAGGCAGGTGTGATTTAAAGTTAGGGGCCAACTACTTTGAGCAGCAGCTGCAATAGTGATCACCAGGAACCAGTCAAAGACATAGAGCTAGGTGCTAGGTGTAAGCAGGGCAAACCAATCAAAGCCGATCCTGATGATCTTGTTCTGTCAGTTTTAGATCCTTGCAGACCCTTCTGTCCAACCCCTTTTGGGTTTCACACTGCAGCAGTGTATCTCTAACCACAGTTAGACCTGGATATCTAATACGCATCTGGAAGCCTCAGGTCTGGCCTTGACTTCTAAATTCCTGGAGATGTTAGGCCAGACTTTAAAATTTTCCTTGGTCCAATATTGCACTATTCACGCACAAACCCCATGTTTAAAATCCATGCCTCCCTCCTCCCCAAGCCAACTCTCCTCCTCCCAGCCAATTGGAAAGGATGGTAAACTCTATCCCTTGGTTCACTGAGACAAGGAGTTTGCTGTGAACCAATCCTAGGCCTGACTATTGGACCAAAACATGGAAGCCCTCCAGGGGCCATAGAAATTGTAGAACCCCAAATGTTGGGGTGGGCATTTGAGGCTTCAATGATCATAGTACCAGATTCTAGTATTATAGAACACTGTCTCCTGAGAACTCCAGCTTATTCTTTAAAGATCCTGTGAAGAAACCCTATGAAAACTGTTGATGAAATTCATTCACGTGTTCAGCTGTAGGTTGTGAATTTTCATTGCTGTATGCTATTCCATTTTATTAATAGACTGTTGATGAACACTGGTTGTTCTCAGTTTGGCATAATTACAAACAATGCTGCAATAAACATTATTTTACATGTTAAAAATTAAGTATAAAGTGGCATATCTGGATTAAACCGTTATCCTAACACTATCCTTATACTATGTTACTTCTTTGACCTCACACTCACTACTTTGAGCCTTGGTTATTACATCCAGCCACACCAGACTCTTGGTACCCATTAAACATCCTGAGTACACCCTCCTTCACAGAATCTTTGCACTGGCTATTCCTTCTGGCTAGAATGTTCCTCCTCAAGATCTCCATAATGCTCCCTCCCTCCTCTGCTCTAAGTCTGCCTCCATACCCCCTCCATGAGACCTACCTGACCAAGTGTTTAACATACCAAATTTCTTCCCTAACACTTTCATTCTCCTCTATCCTGCTCTACTTCTTTTCTTCATACAACTTCCATGTATAAGTTTAACATTCAGTAAGATCACAGGATACAAAGTCAACGCACAGAAATCTGTTGCATTTCTATACACTACTAATGAAGCAACAGAAAGAGAAATTAAGAAAGCAATCCCATTTGCAACTGCACCAAAAAGGATAAAAAATCTAGGAATAAAATTAAGCAAGGAGGAGAAAGACCTGTACTCTGAAAACTATAAAACATCGATGAAAGAAACTGAAGATGACACAAACAAATGGAAAGATATTCCATGCTCATGGATTGGAAGAACAAATATCATTAAATTGTCCTTACTGCCCAAAGCAATCTACAGATTTAATGCAATCCATATCAAAATACCAACATTTTTCACAGTACTAGAACAAATAATCCTAAAATTTGTATGGAACCACAAAAGACTCCAAATAGCCAAAACAATCTTGAAAAAGGAAAACAAAATTGGAGGTATCATAATTTCATATTTCTAGTTATACTATAAATCTATACTAATCAAAACATTATGGTACTGGCACAAAAACAGACACACAGATCTATGGAACAGGATAGAAAGCCCAGAAACAAATCCATGATTATATGGTCAATTAATCTTCAACAAGAGAGGCAAGAATATGCAATGGGAAAAAGAAAGTCTCTTCAACAAATGGTGCTGGGAAAACTGGACACCTATATGCAAAAGAATGAATTTGAACCACTTTCTACACCATACATAAAAATAAACTCAAAATGGATTAAAGACCTCATTGTGAGACCTGAAACCATAAAAACCCTAGAAGAGAGCACAGGCAATAATTTCTCTGATATGGGCCACAGCAACATTTTTTGAGGTAGGTCTCCTGAGACAAAGGAAACAAAAGCAAAAATAAACTACTGGGACTACACCAAAATAAAAAGCTTCTGCACAACAAAGGAAACAATCAACTAAACTAAAAGACAACCTACTGAATGGGAGAAGATATTTGCAAATGACATATCTGATAAAGGGTTAGCAACCAAATAACAAACTGATACAACTGAACACCCCAAAAATGAATAATCCAATTAAAAAATGGGCAAAAGGCATGAACAGACATTTCTCCAAAGAAGACATCCAGATGGCCAACAGACACATGAAAAGATGCTTGATATCACTCATCATCAGGGAAATACAAATCAAAACCACAATGAGATACCACCTCACACCTGTCAGAATGGCTAAAATAAAAAACGCAACAAGCGTCAGTGAGGATGTGGAGAAAAAGGAATCCTTGTGTACTGTTGGTGGGAATGCAGACCGGTGCAGCCACTCTGGAAAATAGTATGGAGGTTTCTCAAAAAATTAAAAATAGAACTACCCTATCACCCAGTAACCACCGTACTGGGCATTTACCCAAAGAATACAAAAACACTAATCTGAAAGGATATGTTTATTGGATATGTTTACTGAAGCATTATTTACAATAGCCAAACTATGGAAGCAGCCCAGGTGTCCACTGATAGGTGATTGAATAAAGAAGATGGAATATGACTCAGCCATAAAAAAAGAATGAAATCTTGTCATTTGCAATGACATGGATGAGCCAGAGAGTATACTGCTAAGCAAAATAAGTCAGAGAAAGACAAATACCATATGATTTCACTCATATGTGGAATTTAAGAAACAAAACAAATGAGAAAGGGAAAAGAGAGGGAGAGAGACAAACCAAGAAACAGTCTCACAATAGTGTCTGGCACAGAGTATGAGTTCAATGAATATTTGTTAAAGGAGGGAACAAAGGAAGGAAGAGGGGAGGGAGGGAAGGAGGAAAGAAGGAAGAAATTTTGCCCTGGAGAGGAAGAAATAATAGGGTAGTAGATAGCATTAAGGAAAGGATTTTCTAACATGAGAGAAATTTGGACATGTCTCACTGCTGAGGAAGGGAGCCAGTAGACGCTGAAGATACAAGAGAATGGACTGAACCAAGTGAGAATGTGAGAAGAAATGGTGGTAGGATTAGCACCGGACAAGTCTAGGACTGCAAAGAGCAGAGTTAAAGCCTGGTAAAAACTGTATCAAGTCCCCAGCAGGAGTGGACAGGCTAAAAATTATACATGGGATTTCTACTGCTATGCAGTAGTTGGCTCTTAGGTCCTGGGTTTCCTTCTGCATGGTGGACAGGCTAAAAATTATACATGGGATTTCTACTGCTATGCAGTAGTTGGCTCTTAGGTCCTGGGTTTCCTTCTGCATGACTGGACCTGGTTCTGCCTTCCTACCAATCCCCCCACTCTGCCCCACACCCCTGGATGAAATGAATTAAGGATGAATGCTGGCGCAGATAGGTCATAGGTCTTTTGGTAGGATTTCAGTTGGCAGTGCTGGTCTGGTTGCATCGGCTTTTACATTTTGTTTTTCATAGAAGTGGGAGATGAGGTCATTAGCTGTGATTTAATTATGCTAGTCATGGTGGGCTTTGAATGCAGAGAGAAAGGAGGTTGGATTTTTTTTAATCTTATTTTTTTAAATTTATTTTATTATGTTATGTTAGTCACCATATGTTACACCATTAGTTTTTGATGTAGTGTTCCATGATTCATTGTTTGTGTATAACACAGTATAACACCCAGTGCTCCATTCAGTATGTGCCCTCTTTAATACCCATCACCAGGCTAACCCATCTCCCCACCCCCCCTCCCCTCTAGAACCCTCAGTTTGTTTCTCAGAGTCCATAGTCTCTCATGGTTCGTCTCCTGAGGAGGATGGATATTTTTATGGTGAACAGGAGAGTATTAAGAATTGCTGCTGTGGTAAAAGGTAGAGAAATCTCATGAGGGTATCATGGAAGGATTAAACCTAGTTAAGGTTAATGATGTGCATTCATGGTTGTTGGTATCTGCACAATTGTGTATTTTGTGACAGCAGTGCTCAGCAGTCCAGTATAAGCATGGCATTTTAATCCCAGGGTGGAGTTCTGGGTTTTTTTTGACCAGTTAGGTGAGACAGAACAATGGGCAAATTATTCAGGGTAGCAAAAGTGTCTTGGCTGAAGTGATAGATGATGCAATTGAAGCTGGGCAGGGAAAATATAAGGGGACAGATGGGAATAAAATAGAAGGTTCCATGTGATTATCAAAATTCAGTTGGTATAAAAATCACCTTGGAAGAGCCAGATCCTGAAATTATTTTCAGCAGGTCTAGGGTGAAGACCAGAATCTATTCTCATAGATTGATTCTGATTCTGCTGTAAGAGGGCCATAGACCATTTTTTGAGAAATAGTGTATTTGAAATTATAGTGAGTTTAAAGAAGTGATATTTTGAGAGGAGATGAGACACACCGAGAGAATACTCTAAGGATAGGTGGGTACAGTGTGAGATAACTAATTTATTATCTCATAGGTGGCACAGCCTTAAATGATGAAAGGTTCAGGGTGTACCCATGCGGGTGGGTGGCTGAAGTGGAGAGTGGAGTGGAGGTGAACATTGCCAAAGGTGAGGTCAAAGTACTGAAAGCCTAGGTAATCCATGTGGACTTTGAAGCCACTCTGGGTGATGGCGGTATTTGGGACAGAGAAGCAAAACTGTGAGCAAAGTTCAAAGCCACTGGTAAACGAAGGGGAGGGAATTACATGTGGGTAGACAAAGCAAGGACTTGGAGTTAAAGGGGTGTAACTGGCTAAGAGTTTTACACAATGGTGGAGAAACAGAACTGGCTAACCTTAGCTGAGCGTTTATTAAGGCTTTATCAATCCATTTTATCCTTATAAACTTTATCTAAAGTAGGTGCTATTTTTTAAAAGTAGGTTCCATGCCCAACGTGGAGCTCGAATTCATGACTCCAAGATCAAGAGTTGCATGCTCTACTCACTGAGCCAGCCAGGTGTCACAAAGTAGGTGCTACATTTTATTCCCGATGAGGGAACTGAAGCACTGAGAGGTTAAGTATAAACCAGGGTCTCACAATTCTTACCCACAATGCTACACTGCCTGATGTAAAATGGTAGTGGTAGGTGTTTTCATATATTTCAACTGAAAAACAACAAAACAAAAAAAACCCGGTGGGATTAACATTTTGGAAAACAATGGAAATATTTCTTCAAATTTCATTGGTACCAAAATATTTGTTTTCATAATCCAGCAGATGGCAGCACTAAATAATAATTCTATATTAGGTCATCTAATAGAAACAGTCTGCTTGTATCAAGACTTCTGTCTAGTCCATGCCTTAATGATTTCTTCAGCAGCATCCAGTGTACTATCTTTCTGCAAATAAATGAAATAATCTTATTACATATTAAATAAATTCAAGATGAAGTAAATATTTAAATATAAAAAAATACCAAAGTCAATGGATCAGGAAAAGTCAAGTAGTGATTTGGGAACCAAGTGCTCTTCAACCACTGGTAACTTGAGCGGGCCTAGTTGGGCTCTAGCCCATCCTTGGTGTTCATTTGGGGATCATGCCCTCTCAGGAGATGAGTCATTGGAAGCCTTGCCTGTATAAAGCCACAACTCTGGGAGGAGCATGGGCAGAAACTGGAAAATGTCATCTGTAGCATCTTCCCTCACCTTGGTGGTCTAGTACACAGGTCCCAAGCTCTTTAAGGAGCCTAGCAGCAAATCAAACAAGCCAATTATTTATAATGTTCTATCCCATTACTGCCTGGCTGGAAAAGTGAATGAACCTCATAAGAATTCAGTATTAGAGGAGTAGAGAAGTGTGACACTGATCATTACATTATACTGTTTTGTGATACTGGCTACCAATTTATTGCTACTATCCTGACACTAAAGAAATGTACAACTGGCTTGTGGCCAAAAAGCATCACCAAGAAAATGATCGACAAACTGTTAAATGCAGTTCAGACTGAGAACAGTTTAACCTGATCCCAGCTAAAACCACATCCACCAGTGGGGACACTCTCACTATTTACAACCACTAGAGCAGCCTAAGCAGCCTGCAGTGCCAAACAAGACCCAGACTCATAAATGACACTGATGTCAGCAGCAAATCTGAATGATGTGCTCCTGGGATCAATAGTTATTATTTTTGCTTTCTTGCCTCTCACTGCACCCCCTTTTGCACATGACCTGACACCCCTCATGATGTCCAACTGTAAGCTTGGGAGATTAAAGGACCGAGACTCAGTCTCCACTTGGGGTATTTGAATATCTTTAGGAAAGGAACTCATAAAGGGGAAATCCTTTCCACTTGAAAAATTACATGGTATTTATTGCGTTTACTGCCAACATTTATAGCCAATGCTAAGGTTTTTGAAAAAAATTTTTTCCTTGCTGCTCAGAAAAGTTTGCTGAAAATACGAGTTTACTAAAAGCATTACAATCTGCAGTCTCTCTTCTCCTAAAATGACATTTACAAATATGAAGATGATTCTTTCTGACACACAATCATGGTGAATGGTACTACTAGCTGGCATTTGCCTAACTGAAAATAGGCAAGTTGAGCAAGTTACAGCCGTCATTCATTAAGTTTTGGATAGTACTCTAATGATTTGTTCACTTCAAAATAAAGACAGATTTTGGTAAAGTAGGAAAAAAATAAAACATAATAGCACTAAATGAATATTTAAGTGAATATCTGATCTCAAGTGAAGAGAATTTTTCAAAATAAGAATGAAAAGGCAGACCTACAAAAGGAACACAATCAAATTAATATATAGTTATGGAAACATACCAGAGAGTATAGAAGGGCTTACACAGAATAAGAATCATCTGCTTGTCCTCTCCCTACTCCTTCCTACTATGCCCACCATCCCCCAAGACAACCTTTTATGGCAATTTCTCATTTCAGTTCTAGTGGTTACCTCCAAGATCTAAATAATGCATTTGGTTCTATTTCCTTATTTATCAACTTCAGACGAAATTCACAATTCCCTGCTCTGAATGAGGAAAAATTGTTCATTCACACTACTATGCCCATTCCCTTTAATGTTTCAGTTATAATTACTAATAAAATTCATTTGCTTTTTGAATAGGTAATACCAGCACAGATAAACAGTGAAAACCAAGCTCTTGTTTTTCTCTTCTGCTTTTTCTATTTCTTTTCTCTTCCCTCTCTACAGAATGATTTCATCAAAAAGCCATTAGGTGGGGCTGAGTGAAGCAGGTGTCCACATATGGGGGCAGGGGGAGCCTGGGCGGCCTGGTGCACGATGTTGCAGCCCGAGTGGAATGAGGAGGGTTTCTGATGTGGGTGGCATGAGGTGCTGGTGATGGCAGTGGCAGCGTTGACTGGAACAGGATGTCAGAGTCCAAGCAGGGTAAGCCAGCATCTCTATGTCAGGGTGGCTCCGTGCTGGGTGTTAGAACCTAGATGGGATGGGGCAGGCATCTGCCAAGGTAGACTGGCATGGGGTGTCAGAGCATATGAGGGGTAGAGGATTCCATGCCGTGGGTGACAGTGGCAGCCTGGTGTGCAGTGTTGGAGAGCTGGAGGAGGGCATGTCTGCAAGGGGTGACAGCAGTGGCAGCCTGGTACAAAGTGTCAAAGCCTCAGGGGTGGTGGCTGGAGGGGCTGTGGCACATACAGAGGGACTGATTAAAGAAGTGATTCCATGATGAGAGCGAGGGTTTTTTTTTTTCACTGTCAAAGAGGGGAGTTATGAATATGGAAAATCCTTGAGCACAAGTCATTCAAAACGTGCAAGTAAATCCACAGGAAAAAGATCCCAGAAGTAGAATTTCTGCATTAAGAGGTATGCGCATTTACATTTGGATGGAAATGGTCAAACTAACCACTGCTAAGAGATTTTACAAATTAAACCCCCATTCTCTATAAGAGTGTCTTATGGAAATTTTTAGTTGTTCACTTGTTTCCAAATTAATAGATAAAATGAAATTTTGTTGCAGTTTTAATTTTCATTTCTTGTAATATGACTAAAGTGGGACATCCTCTCATATGTCTGAGAGCTGCTGAGAATGTTACCCATAACCATTGTAAAGTGCTGCTTCTTGGCCTATTTTGCCTTAAATTTCACCTGGTTGCTTTCAATTTCCATTTTCTTGGCATGTTTTGCCACCCTTTTATTTTTAGCCTTTCCAAGAGGTTGAGTCAGCTATGGTAACTTTCCCTAGAGACTTCTCGGTATTGCTCCCCTATCTTCCAAAATTAAATATTGATGGGAAGGGGGTGTGTCCACACGGATCCACTTTCCCTGCCCCCACGAAGGCTTTGGTCTTTTTGTGTAGATGCCAAAGGACTGTTTCTTTATCTTCTTAAGTCCAATATATCTCCGTGTTAATCATTCTGTGACAATCTTTCCTGAGGCAAGGCATTCCCTTTCAATTGCTAGATTTGTCTGTTTTGTTTTGTTTTGTTTTTAATGGAAAGCATTCTTTAAATAAAGCTATAAAATTATTTTCAGGTTCTATTTGTCCCCCCCCCCCCAGGATTCTACATATTTCACTTGTCTTCCACATCTATAATTTTTCTAATATTTTAAAAATCTTTGTTCCTCTCCACTCTTCTTTGCTCACTTTTCTCAATCCTTAAAATGCTTACAGAAGTTAAGTATTCAGTGTTCTCTGTGCTGTTTCCAATGTCACTACCAATGACCAATAGCTTGATTTTTTTCCCTTCAATTTTGTACCCGAGCTCTGACAAGCTGCCATTTCATCTTCTTATATTATGACATTATCTTCCCTGAACTTTTTAAATCTCTGCTTTAATCTCAAGGTTTTGGATTTGAACTATCAAATTTTATTTGCTCTATAGCAACATTTTTCTGGTTGAATATTCTCTTTCTGAACACTTGGTTTTCCCTGTACCTTTCTCCTTTTTCCCTAATAGTGTATTTTTATAGATTCGTAGTTGATTCCTTTTCATTAGTCATTTTTGATTGAATTACCTTTGTAATCCCCTACTGCTGGCACACCTACTGTTCCTGTTGTTCTGGGTAATGAATATGCTACCTACTGACTTTGTCTATGATTTGAAGATGTGTCTGCAGACTGGTGTAAGTGAGGAGCCAGGGTAGCACTAGAAGACAGCAGAAATTCTCCCTGGTTCATAGTAAAGTTCAATATGATTGATGTGGGGACTTCAGTGGTGGGGAGGGGTTTTGTTGGTTTTTTTCCTCCCACCTAATTTTAGTGGCTACCTCCAGTTGAATCTATCTCCTCCACATCGCCCAACAAAGACTGGAGCAAAAATGACAGGAGTCAATGGGAAAATCTATAACCCAACGAGAATCTCTTTTCCACGCTGCCCCACCTAGGTTCTAGATGATATAGCTGTATGTTTCTAACCTGCCTTGCATGATGCTAAATGAGTCTGGAGAGGCTCCAACTGCCAGTGTACTTATTGTCCTATTGTTCTAGATGAGTAGGTTGCCTGCTGGCACCGTTTATAACTTGAGATGGAGACACAAGAGACTTTCTAGGTGTCTTCCCTTTACCTTCACTGTATTTGGAAACTCTTCATCATTTACTGGGGAATTTGTGAATCTGTTTTCCTTTCTCCTAGCTGTTTCTGATATTTCCAAGAAGAGAATGGGGAAGCACAGTGTTTACGATTTTAAAACAGGAAGTCTTAAGTTACTTTTTTTTCTTTTATTAGTTCTGCTTATAACTTCAAAAGATATACCTCTATATCTAGGATCCACTGTAAGATGAGAATATTAATGGCCTTAATCTCTCTTCTACATTTTAGTCAATTAAATTTAGGTTGTTAACATTTTTATTCTCTTCTGAACGAGTCTTTCAGAGTTTGTAGACTGTCTCTCAAAGTTGAAAACAATGTTTACATCATTCTGACTAGGTTTATAGATGAATACGTTGGTAAAAAGAGTTTCTGGATCTTATTAAGCCTGCCTTCAGTAGCAACGACATCTTAAAAATTGCAATGATATATATATTCAAATTTTTTTTAAAAGATTTTATTTATTTACTTGAGAGAAAGAGAGTGAGGGAGCATAAGCAGGGGGAGTGGCAGAGGGAGAAGGAGAAGAAGGCAGGGAGCAGGGAGCCTGATTCAGGGCTGGATCCCAGGACCCTGAGATCATGACCTGAGCTGAAAGCAGCTGCTTAACCAACTGAGCCACCCAGGTACCCCTCAGATATTTTTTGAGTATAGATCTGATGGTAAGCAAGTCACTCAGCTTTTATTTGTCAGGAATATACACTTCATTTTCAGTTTTAAAGGCTATTTTCCTGGATAAAGAATTCTGGGCTGATATATTTTTTATTTCAGGACTTTGAGGATGTCATTTCATTGTATTCTGGTCTTCATTTTTTCTGATAAGAAGTTGCTAAATTAATATACATGGGAAGTATAGTTTTTCTCTGGCTGTTTTCAAGATCTTACCATTACCCTTGGTTTTTAGCAGTTCAAGCGTAAAGTGTCTTAGGGTGGTTTTCTTTATATCCTGTTGTCCTTCACCGAACTTTTAGATCTCTAAGTAAGTTGCTTTTCACAAAATATGAGGAAATTTTGGCCATTACTTCTTAAAATACTTTTTCTGCCACATTCTCTCTTTTTTGGTACTCTAATTACATGTATTATCACTTGATATTGTCTCATAGACCTAAGACTCTATTCATTTCTCAAAAATAATTTTTCCCTCTATTTTTCAGATTGGATAATTCTATGAATCTGCAATTCAAGTGGGTCCTTTATTCCTGATATCCTCAATCCTCTGTGTGTTAAGCCCCATACATTCTTCATATCAGATATTATACTTTTAAGTTCCTGAATTTCCACTTGATTTTTTTTATAATTTTAATTTGTTCACTCATTATGACAATGTTTTCCTTTAATTTCTTGAACATACTTTAAAGTCCTTGTCTGCTAATTCCTCTATCTGGGTCACCTTGTGATCTGTTTCTACTGACTGCTTTTTTTCTTTATTAAAGATCACATTTTCTTTTTTCTTTTTTTTTTTAAAGATTTTATTTATTTATTTGAGAGAGAGCAAGAAAGAGAGAGCACAAGCAGGGGGAGGGGTAGAGGGAGAGGGAAAAGCAGACTCTACACTGAGCAGTGGGCCCGACGGAGGGCTCGATCCCAGGACCCTGGGATCATGACCTGAGCCGAAGGCAGATGCTTAACCGACTGAGCCACCCAGGCGCCCCAAGGGTCACATTTTCTTATGTCTTCACATGTCTAGTAATTTTTTATTGCATGCTGCATATTGTATTGTTACATGGTAAGGAGTCCAATTATGCTGTAAATACAGTAAATTCAACACTTCAGAGTGTTGAGTTTTGTTCTGGTAGGCAGTTAATTTCATGGCAGCAAGCCAAAATTAAAAAACAAAACAAAACTGCATATGAGCACATCATTCCTAGCAAGAGAAAAAAAGGTGCTTTATAAATCAGAAGGAAGGACATCATAAATGTGGTTTTGAATAGAACAGGGAACTTACTTTTATGAAGCAAAATCGCACAAACTTCTCAAACTGTAATTTGGTCTCTGCATTACAGAATGCTGAAACTGGAATGGCTGACAGTTTCTGAAAAATGAATAGAAAAATAAAATAGGAAAACTACTTCTAATTCAAATTTAATTTTAGGACAGATAAATGTTAATAAGAAACAGATACTTCTAAATATCCACAACAACCTCCAAAAAGAAAAAAATGTTTTTAAAATCCTCCACATAGCCATAAAGGGAATATCATTTAACAAACCTGTAGTTAACATTGTTCAAAACATGTCAGTAAGTATCCTTCATATACAATACAGCACAGTATCTCAAAGTCCAATAAATACTACCTTATTTTTAGTCATCCATTTCACAAATTTATAGTCATAAGGTTCATTGCTGTCCTTCATATCAGAGAGGTCTGCATCTAAAACAACAATGAAAATTAGATGGCCTATTATATCTGAAGGCAAGATGTATTTCATTTAAATCTGTCAAGATTCAAAATATTCTCAGAAACTACTGAAGTCTCATACTATATGGTGGGTTGGGAAGAGAAAAATTCACAGATAGGTTTTGTTTTGTTTTTTTTAAGAACAGTTATTTCCAAGAATTATGTAATTAATTACATTTTCTATTTGCCCTTGCAGCCACAGAGTTCAGTCCCAAGTTAATGCTAATCAGTATAGGAAAAATTTGTTTCCTTCCCCTCCTATGTGACACTGATTCTTTATTATATACATTTCTATTTATATATATTATTACATAGAAAACTTTTTAATATAAGTTAGTTTAAATGCTTTTTGGAAGCAGATCAAGTATATAAATCAATTATTTTAAAAATAATTCATGTTGGGCAATCCTCTCGGGTCCCCTCCCTCCTCGGGAGCTTTGTATTGTCACTTAGCTATCCCTCGATAAACCTTGCTCTGCTGCCCACCAGAAAAAAAAAATTAAAAAATGAATAAATAAATAATGATTTTTAAAAATTAAAAAAAAAATTCATGTTGAGGGATGCCTGGGTGGCTCAGTCAGTTAAGCATCTGCTTCTGGCTCAGGTCATGATCCCAGGGTCCTTGGGATCGAGTCCTGCATCAGGATCCCTGCTCAGCGGGGAGCCTGCTTCTCCCACTGCCTGCTGCTCCCCCTGCTTATGCTCTCTCTCTCTGACAAATAAATAAATAAAATATTTTAAAAAATAATAAATAAAATATATAAAATAGGGGCGCCTGGACGGCTCCGTCGTTAAGCATCTGCTTTCATCTCAGGTCATGATCCCGGGGTCCTGGGATCGAGCCCCGCATCGGGCTCCCTGCTCAGTGGGAAGCCTGCTTCTCCCTCTCCCACTCCCCCTGCTTGTGTTCCCTCTCTCGCTGTGCCTCTCTCTCTCTCTGTGTCAAAATAAATAAATAATATCTTAAAAATATATATATAAAATAAATAATAAATTAAAAAATTCACATTGAAAATATTATAGATTTCCAATTCAAAAGCAAAACTAAAGGTGATGAAAACAGCTATTTCTTTGTATCGTTTCATGAAATGAGCTATACATTTAGACGTAACATAGGAAAAGCGATTTCTTAAACCTCAGAGTATAGGACATCTTAAGGGATTTTATATAAGAATGGAGCTTAGGAGAGCAAAACATATACAGCTTTCAGGCACTAGGACAGCAAAAATCTCTGGGCATCATGGCTTCTGCTTCTCGCACAACAAATGAAGAAATAACAGTCACCATTTGGTTATAAAATCAAAAGTTTCCAGACTTATAAAATTTGGTATATATAAAAGGCTTTTCAAGTTCAGTGGAATATAACTTTATTGCAATAGAACCTTAAAACAAACTATTCGGCCAACTTCTGTCAGAATAAATTATGCTTTTAAATGTACTATTATTAACATTATAGTTTGTTTTTTTTTGAAGAAAATCGGTTATATATAAAATGTTATCATGCTTCTAATTTTAGACTAGTATGGCATGTCAGAAGTACATAAAACAGCTTCAGGTAATATAAAGACCATTGCTTTTAGGAGACAAAACTATTTGGAATCTACCTATGTGACTTTAGACAAGTTATTTAAAATTTTCTAAGTCTTCACATCTTTAAAAGTGGAGCTAACAATGCTTTCTTCAAAAGGGTATTTGAAAGTGCTAGGCATGTAGCAGACTTTAATAAATATTATTTTCCTTCTTTACTTCATTTTAGTATATTCTAAAATAGCAAACATTCCCCGATAGCACCAATGTTCTAGAAACCTTATTTTTCTTAAGTAAAAAAGAAACTAAAATTTTACTCAGAGGAACACTGGGTTCATATATTATTTCATGTACTTGTGTTTTAAATTCCACACTAGAACAAGATGATAGCAAATTCTGTGTTTAATGGGATACCTAAAAGAACTGACTCTATAACCATGTTAACAGTCACATTTAAGATTCAGGGATCTAAAATTCAAGATGATTACTGAAAAAACAAAAAACAAAAAAACAAACAAAAAAGCACTGACATTCTGAAAAGCCATTTTTCCATAGACAAAATGCTGACATAGTTTTGACATCAATCTTTACTCCCTAAAAATTCTAATACAATTTCACACATAAGTTTCTATATATTTGAAATAAAAAAACCCTTACAAACCTAGCAAAGACACATCAGCAATTATGAAGTATCCCCCATCAGGAACTATGGGTTTTAGGCCAAGACTTTCAAGTAAATGTATCATCCGATCTCTTTTTACTTCTAACTCCTTTGGCAAAGAATTAAAGTAACACTCTGGGTCATCCATGCGCTTGATGTCAATCCAAAAAGCTTGAGCCAAGGCTTCCTGCATGTTAAGATCGAAACATGTGGAAAGGAAATACGGTAATGTTATTTATTGCTGAATTTATTGGTGTAATAAAAATTGCCTGAGTCACATTATTGGCAAAAAAAAAAAGGTTATTCAGGGAATTACAGTTGAATTCCTGTGAACTTACGTTAGACTGTATCAATTAATGGAGGAATCAGTTACACGTAAATGATTAAATCTAATGTGAAGAACTGAGAATGAGCCGTGAAGATCCGAATTAAAGAAGAGGTATTGTATAAAGATGGCTTACTTGGAAATAAAAAGACATTAAGTTATTTTCCATTGAGGGGAGCTGTGGAATGACTTGCTAGATCTAAGTCTGAAAAATGACCAGAGAAATGATGAACTAGCCAGCCTTTTTCCATTACCTTGGAGGATGTAGTGGAAATGAAAGCTGACCCACTGTGTCACTCCCCATAGATATGCAATCATTCTAATCTGAATTCTAATCCCTGTTCTAATCACGTGTATCCCAGAAGTGTCTAAGTGCCACAGGGATTAGAAAAGAGTGTCCGGGGTATGTGGAGTCACTTCTGTACCATTCCTCAAGAAAGCCAGAAGTGACAGGAGAGAAACTGGGAGAAGGGAAAAAAAAACAATGTTGTTAAAGATCATGTAGATGTCTCAGGAGGCAACAGGGTAGGAAAAGGTAAACAAGTCTCAATCAGGACACACATAAAGAGCAAGGATCTGTACAAGCAGGAGGGCAGAAGATTGTTAGGTCAGTGTGAACTGAAACAACTTAAAAATACCGGTTTCTCAGAGCAAAGAAGGAAAGGTAAGCAAATAATCAAGAACCTGGAATAGTTGAGATAGCAGGGCAAAGTGGCCAAATTTTAAGGAAATTAATCAGAACCAAGAGGTATTAAGAATTAAAGGATAAAACATTCATTCAGTAAACATATACTAAATACTAATGTTAAATATTGGCTGATAAAACACTGGGGGTATAATGGTAAATGAGATAAACATGGTCCTTGCCTTTATGGAGATTCCAGTTGGTGTGTACTGGAGGGGGTATGTGGGAGGGTTGAGGAAACAAATACATGAAAAAGGCAAGATATAGTTTGTTCTGTTGGAAGAACTGAGTCTGGTGTGGCTCAAGAGTAGCAAGAGAGCGTGGAAAGAGATGACATGGAGAGACAGAAGGGTAACGTCACTGAGAAGACTGCATGCCAAAAGAAACCAGCAGGAAAAAAGAATTAATCATAATTTCCCAGTACTAACAAAATCTTGGATAAATAACGATCAAGCTGCATCAGCCTAGGAATCTGGGGTTCCCCTGGAAGCATGGGCCAGTTTCCAAACATGGTTGTCTGAGTGCATGGAAAAATCCAGGCACTTGGTTGAAATGGATGACCAGAGGGGTCAGGAAAAGATGTTCCAGATTCTTAGCTGCATCTTTCTTGTTCTCAGCAACTTATTCACTCCCCATAGCAGGAGATATTGCCCTAGAAAAGTCAAAGCTCAAGAGACATAATCATCTCTCCTAACTGTACTCTTATACTGGACTTCTCTCTTTTTTTCATGCCCCACATGTGACCCAATGGCAAATGCTGTCATCAAAAACTCTGCCTTCAAAATATATTCAGAACCCAATCACGTTCCACCATTTTACCATCCCTATATTGGTTCATTCAACTGCTGTCTCTCTCCTGGATCACTTCAACAGTCTTTTGACTCAATAAAGCAGCCAGGTCCCTTTGATAAGTTAGATCATGTCACCCTTGTGCTCAAACTCTCCAGTGGCTTCCTATCTCACTCAGCTTTTACAGTGATGAACCTGGCCTTATTTGATCTGGCTCCCGGCTACCCCTTGATTTACTTCCTCCTACTCTTGTCCTTTGATCATCCCATCCCCTCTCGTGCTTTTCACAGATACAAACATGACAGCCAGACTGCCTACCCCAGGGCCTTTGCACTTGTTTTTCTCACAGTCTGGAAGGTTCTTCTCTAGGTAACCCATGTGACTACTTAAGCTTCAATTCATAGCTCAGATGTCATTTTCTCAGGGAGGCTTTCAAAGATTACTCCACTTAACATTGTATACTCTCCCTCTTAGCACTTTATATCCTTCATCTTCCCTGCTTTATTTTTCTCTATTGCATCTACGAACACCTGACATATTATTAAAATATTTACTTCTTTATTAGCTGTGCCCCCACTAGGCCTTAAGCTCAAAAAGAGCTTTTCAGAAAGAAATTCCTGCTGTATCTCCAATACTCAGTAAATATTTGTTGAATAAGTGAATGGATTTATTTTGAGTGGATAAAATGAATTTAATATTATATAAAACCAAAAGTCAAAAGTAGTGTTTATTAAGACATTGCTTTAGAGAGTCATTGGAGAAAGAATTTTAAAATAAAATTTTTTTCTCATTCAATAGATCTTTTTGACAGGAAGCAAAAAAGTAAATTTACTGTAGCCAATGTATTTCACTCTTCTGGCTTTTTAACGGCCTTCCAGATAAAGAAAATTTTTTCAGTGTTCTGATTCACAGAATGATGATACATAGATCCCTGTTTTATAAATATATAGTTAAAAAAACCAGAAACAATATAAAAAGATATACATTAAAAAGTCTTGCACTCACCCCGTCCCTATCTACTCATTTCACCTATTCCTCATACCCCTACAATTGGCACCTTTTTTTTTTTTTAAGATTTTATTTACTTATTTGACAGAGAGATAGCGAGAGCAGGAGCACAAGCAGGGGGAGTGGGAGAGGGAGAAGCAGGCTTCCCACGGGAGCCCCGATGCAGGGCGTGGGGCTCGATCCCAGGACCCTGGGATCACAACCTGAGCCGAAGGCAGATGCTTAATGACTGAGCCACCCAGGTGTCCCTACAATTGGCCACTTTTACTAGTTCCTTATGGATCCTTCCAGAGATCCTTTAAGAAAATACAAGCGAATGGTTTCCCCCTGTCTTATACAGGATATAGCATAAATACACACTGCCCTGCATCTTGCTTTTTTTACTTTACAGTATATTCTGGAAATTTTTCCATATTGATCATTATAGAACTTCCTCATTCTTTTCCTTTCTTTTCATTTTTAAATAGTCATGGTGACAGACAGAATGGCTCCCAAAGGTGTCCAGGTCTTAAAACCCAGAACTTGTAGGGGCACCTTGGTGGTTCAGTCCTTCAGCTCAGGTCATGATGGCAGGGTCCTGGGATGAAGCCCTGCATCAGGCTCCCCACCCTTTGAACCTACCCCCTGCTTGTGCTCTTGTTCTCTCTCTCTCTCTCAAATGAATAAATTAAAAAATCTTAAAAAAAAACAAACCCAGAACCTATAAACATGTTACCTTGCATGGTAAAATGAACTTCGCAAATGTGGTTTAAATTAAGGATCTTGAGATGAAGAGATTATCTTGGATTTTCTGTGGGCCTAATACAATCATAAAGATCCTTATAAGGGAAAGAAAGTAGAAGGAGAGTCAGAGTCATGTTAGAGTGATGTGACCATAAGCCAAGGAATGTGAGCAGTCCCTAGAAGATGGAAAAGACAAGGAACAAAGTCTCCCTTACAGCCTTCAGAAGGAATACCAGAATGCAGACACCCTGTTTTGAGCCATAAGACCCATTTCAGATTGTTGACCTCCAGAACTGTAAGATAAAAAGATTTGTGTTGTTTTAAGCCACCAAGTTTGTGGCCATTTGTTACAGAGAAATAGGAAGCTAATACAAAATTCATATAATATTTAAATGTTTGGATAAACCATGGTTTGTTTAATTAATTCTAAAGATGGATAATGACTATCCCCTATCTTCTGCAATAAATGGCCATACACATACAGAGCTTCTTATGTGTACAGATAATAACTACAGGGTAAATTCCCAGAAGACGGATTGCTGCTTTGTAATGCACGTACATCTATAATTTTGCTTGGTGTTGTCACTGTCCTTCACAGAGTCTGTAGTACTTTGCAATCCCACCAGCAATGTATGAGTATTCAGAGTTAAAACTTGATGTATTTAAATAAACAGAAAAAAGCTGTTCTTGAGAGTAATGAGTATCTGTCTGCTCCTAAATTCCCAAACAATACTAGAGGCCCAGTTCAAAAAGGGCATCATGGGTAGAACTAAGCCAATGAATACACAGCCTAAAAATAACACCTTTACCAAAAGACTTCAACCCCAAGTTACTATTAATACCTACCTGTAAAGGAGTCGCACAAGTATAAATGGTGTTTTGTTGAACTGTCTGTAAATGTTTTATCAAATGATTAGGACCAATGGACCAGCCAAGCTGGAAAAGGAAAAGATAAAAAGCAGATTTCAAAAAACAAATCTAATTGTATGTACCAAATCCGATAGAGTAGCTCAGCTTAATGTAATTATTAAATATATGCAACTCTAAAATGTTCATACTATGAAAGTAGTGCAGTATTAGTATTTACTCATCATTTCAACACTGTTCTTTTGTGAGAAAGTTTCCCACTGGAGTCACTAAACTCTGCCTTCAGAAGGTAAACAGTACCCTTAGTTGCTATTATCCTTTTCTTTTCTAATTTGCTACTTCTGATATTCTGAAGGTCTAAAAACTGGTAACAAAGGTTATCTGAATTAGGCAAAAGTAACTCTGAATGAGGGCCTAAGGGACTCTTCCATAAGCTGGTTCTGCAGGCCCCATTTTTAATACTCCCTGCTTCCTGGCCATGTTCAGGAGAGGCCAGTTGGAAGATGACCAAATTTCAACCGGGTAAATCGCTGTTGTATTACATAGTGCAGTGCTTAAGTACGTGGATTCTGAAGCTAGACTGCCTGCACTGGCTTGACTTTATTAGCAGTATAACCTCAGGCAACTTACTTCTCTGCACTAGTTTTATTGCCTGTAGAATGGGGATGATAAATTATACTCACCTCATAATGCCATTATGAGAATGAGCATGTGTAAGGCACTTAGAACCTGGCACATAGTAAGTGCCAAAATATTAGTTATTATATTATTTTCTTCCTCCTTTTATATTAATACACAATAATCTGAACATTTTTTGCAAAAAAAAAAGAGTGCCATCAGTTCGTGACTTATAAAATGAAAAATTACTTATTTTTTCTGCCATTTACAATGACATGGATGGAGCCAGACGGTATTATGCTAAGCGAAATAAGTTAGTCAGAGAAAGACAAACACCATACGATTTCACTCATCTGTGGAACTTAAGAAACAAAAATGAGCAAAGGAAAAAAAAGAGAGAGAGGGAGGCAAACCAAGAAACAGACTCTTAACTATATATAGAGAACAAATGGCTGGTTACCAGAGCGGGAGGTGGGTGGAGGAATGAGGGAAATAGGTGAGGATTAGGGTGGGCACTTGTGAGGAGCACTGGATTTGTGCTGAATAACTGCACTGCACACCTGAAACCAATAATACACTTTATGTTAACTAACTGGAATTTAAATAAAGACTTTAAAATAATAAACAATCAGGTCTCAAAAAGGATAAAGGCCAACATGAAAGCTGAATGAGTAAAAATAAAGAAAAGATCAGTAAGTATAAAAACCTGTGTAAACCGAATATACATGCATTTAAAACACACATATACAGAAACTCTACGAGAAATAAAATACATGCTCATTTTCAAGCAATTTCATTCTTCTGCACCTTACCTTCCAGCCAGTTACACTGAAAGTCTTTCCAGCACTTCCTATTGTTATTGTTCTCTCCCACATACCTGGAAAAGTAGCTAAATAGGAAAGAGAAAAGAAAAAGGTTAAGTAATTGCTTTCCAACCAATCTGTATTCAGTATAATCTAAAAACATAAAGGTAGTGGTCAGTGTATTTCAGTAGGTTTTTAAATATAATGTAACTCTAACCCAAACACAATTGAAAATGTTACAGTGCTTGAAAACACTGTCATATGTGATAGATTAAGTAATTTTAAGGAGCAAAATTACTTCCAGGGGCAGGAGTGTCAATAGGCAGGGTTCCAGACAGGGGTTGCACAAGCATGGCACCCAGCGCTCAGTGTCAGTGGTAGCTGAACATTCAATATTCTCTTCCTGTGGCACCCTTTTGGTTGTGGTCTGGCTAGTGTTTACTCACGTCTTCTCTGCCCATTTTGCGAGTCTATTTCTCCAGGCTTCCTAAGGCAATGGTTCTTAAAATGTGGTCCCCACACCAGCATAGCAGTCTCAGTGGGGAACTAGTCAGGAAGGCAAATTATTGGACTGCATCCCAGAGCTACTGAATCACAAACTCTGGGGGTAGGGTCCTGCAATCTGGGTGTGCATGTGCGTGTGTGTGCGTTTTGCTAAAAACTTGGAGATATAAATCCCACATGATAAAATTCACTTCTTTAAACTGTCCAATTCGATGGTTTTTAGTATATCTGCAGAGCTGTGTAACCAGTTTTAGAACATTTTTTCACCCCAAGAGAAGCCCATACCTTTTGGGTATCACCCCTTAATATAATTTCCTTGGCCAAGAGCCATGGCCAGGAGCATTAGAACTTGTGCCTGAATGGAGCTCATCTAACATACCTAGTCCCTCCATAATGCACACCATGGCCTTCCTGCATTAGCCAGCACTTCAGCACTATGCAATCACCATGAAAAGGACATTTGTTTATAGTATGAGCTGAAGTAAGAAGGCAGAGTGTTGCCTTGTTGACCTCAACTGAGAACACGTGTATCAGGTGACTCTAATTTTTTGCCCCTTTCTGCATGTTTATGAATGTGAAGTGCCAAGAGTATTGACTTTGGGGTTAAAAATCTATTTCAGTGAGTAGGTGATTCACAAATATGGATTCCACAAATAATGAGAAATGACTGCATAAATGTTCTCAAGTTGATTGATATCTTTAATAAAATCATTCATTCTTGTGAAATGAAATTCTATCAAACATTTATTAGCAATGACCAGGTGCCAGGGACTATGCTAGGTCTAGAGGAAACAAAGATGAGAAAGAAGCAGTTTCTGTCTTCAAGGAGTTTAATGTCTAGTGGGGGTAGGAGAAAAGTAAAACAACAACCATAATACAGTGTGGTAAGTGCTGTAATCGCAACAGGCATGGAGTATCATGCAAGGACAGAAGAAGGTGTAAGGGGTAGCTTTCTGCAGCCAGTAATGCTTGAGCTGAGACTTGGAAGACCACATAGGCCTTTGCCAGTCAGAGAAGGCAAAGAAAGGTATTTGGGGTGAAGGGAATGGAGCTAACGAAGTCATGGGGGTATAGAATGTAAAAGCTTGTGAATTTTGCGGGACATTGGTAAACGATTCCCTTGTGAATCTCCTGAGAATGCTACCTACACTGTTCTTTGGATTCCTCAAGTAATTTAGTCGTGAAGTTCTTCACATGCAATCCCATGAGTTTTTCACTTGTTTTGTAGAGGAACAGTAGATACTCTTCTATTGTTCTAAGAGTTGGTATACACAAAGAGAGAACAAACAGCCATTTCTGTGGGGTCTAAGCTACGGTTTTCTTCATCTTCTCATACTTAAGTAAAGTAGCTAACAAAATTTCCAAAATGAATTCATACATAATCTTAGTCCATTGTGAAACACCTGGCAATATTTGTAAAGGTAGGAAAACTACATAAACCGGAAAAGTTACAAGTGTATTCTCTGTGGAGTATAACAAACCCCAAAAAGATAAATGAAGAAAATATTTAGAGGGTCCATTAGAAGAAAGAATATTCTAACATTTAATATAAATATATCATATCCTTTCAAGTTTTGAGACATCTGTAGTCTTCCAAAGTAATCCAAAAGAATACCATGACACATGTCCCACTCTCCTATTTGACCAGAGAAAATCTAAACACTGTATAATGCAGAGTATCACCTCCTTTAAAATAATAATATAGGGGTGCCTGGGTGGCCCAGTCAGTTAAGCATCTAATTCTTGATTTTGGCTCAGGTCATGATCCCAGGGTGGTGAAATCGAGCCCTTCATCAGGTTCCACGCTGGATGTGGAGCCTGCTTAAGATTCTCTCTCCCTCTCCCTCTGCCCCCCCCACCCCATGTGCATGTGCAGACACATTCTCTCCCAATAAATACATAAATAAATAAATAAATAAATAAATAAATAAATAAATGAAGTTAATATATATCCCAAACCAGGAAGGTCTATTAGTAAGAACAATACTTAGAAAGAAATTCTTTGAAAATAAGAATCATCCAGAGAAATGAATACAACCTTAACATGTTTTCATGATAAGTTATATACAAAGGGAATCAAAACTACTCACATGTCAAACGTAGGAGTTTTTTTCAGAAAATATCAATGTAATAGTTATAGGTATAATATGTTTTAAAAAAAGCTAAGTAATTTTGATGACTATTTTAGCCATTTAAAAGTGGATGTCTTTTTTTTCCAGCAGTAAACTATTCAGCTGAATAACTTACAAGGAATTTTATACTAATTAGCTAAATACTGAAAGATTCGTATATCAATATCAATGTTTTATCTTTTTTCTACAAAGAGAGGTTTCTTTTGTTGACTGAAATGTCATTTTACAGAAATCTGGAGACATCATTTGAATCAAGAATCTGATCCAAGAACAAATTCTACTACTTCAATAAAAAGGGCCCTAAGGAATTTTAAAAACATCTGGATGTTCATGTCCTCTCCAACTCAGAGCCACAGAAGTTAAAGTAAACAGATAGTCAGAACAGAAGACCACAGCACTGTGTGTGAATCTACAGAAAAACAAAACAAAACAAAACAAAACAAACCCCAATCTTTGCAGGTCTGATCATTTAAAAAAACATATCTAGGGGCACCTGGCTGGCTCAGGTGGTAGAGCATGCAACTCTTGATCTCGGAGTTAGGAGTTCAAGCTCCACGTTGGGTGTAGAGATTATTTAAAAACAAAAACAAAAAACCCTAGGGGCACCCAGCTGGCTCAGTTGGAAAAGCACGTAACTCTTGGTCTTGGGGTTGTGAGTTTGAGCCTCACAATGGGTGTAGAGATTACTTAAATGGATAAATAAATAAAAACAAAAACAAAAACAAAAACAACCCAATATTGGTAAGTTAAGCTTGCATTTATATCTGAAAGGCAACTGGCCTTTGCACTTCTCATTTATGACCCATGCTCCTTAAATCAGCCGCACCAGTTACATGAGTTATTCACAGGTGGTTTAGGCTTCAGTGGAAGTCAGATAAAGATGAGAAACATGAGGAACTGTGCTACCCCAGGGAAAACCATCTCAGTGAAAGCATGAGGATGCTGCTAATTCATGATGTATGGCTAGAAAGCCTTATTGTGTTATATTAAAGAGCTACTCTCACACTCTGCAAATTGATGAAATAGCCATTTTGCATCTTTTGCGTAACAAAGGCCACTGTATTTGATAGAATAGCTAAGTTTTCATGGAACCAAACTGTACTCTGTAAATAATGAAATAGTGAATTCATTTTTTTCTTGTTTATGGGCTGTTATAACAACTAAAAAAATCTGAGTTAAAAATATATGTCTTGATATCTTTAGCAAGTAATATCTGCTACATTTTTTAAAAAAAATTTATTTGAGAGAGAATGAGATAGAGAGAGAGCATGAGAGGGGGGAGGGTCAGAGGGAGAAGCAGACTCCCTGCTGAGCAGGGAGCCTGATGCCGTACTGGATTCCAGGACTCCAGGATCATGACCTGAGCCAAAGGCAGTCGCTTAACCAACTGAGCCACCCAGGTGCCCCTATCTGCTACATTTTTACTATGAGGGCTTATCATGTAACATGAGGCTTAAACAATATAATAAAGGTTCAAACAACAAATCTCAAGATCATTTAAAGTTATGTATTGGAAAAATATTGCTAAACTGAGTTAACTAAAACTCTAAAGATTTGAGGCATTATTGCATAGACATGAACATATATTTTATGTTAAGTACAGAAGTATATTCATTAGAAAGATGCCTCTTCCTCTCTCTGCTTAATAATCAACACTTAATTATTATTAAAATAATTATGTGTCCATAGTGATCTGATTTTCAACTGGAAATAGTTCAAATGGCCTGAAACAGAGATCATCAACAAGAAGGGTGAAGATGAACCCTAATGCAATTTTGACAATGTAAGAGCTTGCTGTGTCAAGGCACCACCACACCTTGCAAATCTCTGGCTGTCTTCTTCTTTTATCCGTATTCCCTGAGAACATTCTCTTCCATGGATTCCACCATCAACAAAATTTTGATGACTGGCCAAACTGTTTCCCCTCATAATTTGATCCTGACTGTCAGGCTTGTATCCAGAATCTTCTCCTCTGTCTCACAGACACTGAAACTTAGCAAGACTATAAAGCATGAGAGGCAGGAATATTCCTTCCTCCCCAGGGATCTGCTCCTCCTCAGCACATCTCCACCTCTGCTTAAGAGCCTCATCACTGCTGACGGGGCTGGGCCAGAGATCTCAGAAGCATACTTGCTTGCTCTCTTCCCATCTTCAAATGCTATACCCGCCCCCCCCCATTGTCTTGACTTCTAAATAGCCCACATGTGTCAACTCTACTGCTAGCCTATCTGACTCATTTCAGATCCTCACCTATAGCTGGTTCTTAGCTTTATAAAACAAATCCAATCATGTAACCAATTCCCTTGCCATGGCACACCTCTTGCAGTTCTCAAAGTACGCTCATTGGAACTTTGGCGATCAAATTAATGTGTATCATTTTTTTAAAAAATCAATTTTAAGTTTCCTTCCATGAAATTTTCTTATGCACTTAAAATAAGTACTACTGTTTATCTGACAGTATATGTTACCAATGGTGAAACAAATGAACATTTAGTAAGTGAATTCTAATGGCAAAATAAAATAAAACTCTCACGGGCTTATTTCAATGGCTCTTTGTTACAAATATGCACAGAACTATTATTTTTATATTGACTTTTCTTTTTTTAAAGATTTATTTCCTATTTTAGAGAGAAAGAGAGAGACAGTGTGTGTGTGTGTGTGTTTGTGTGTGTGTGTGTGCATGAGCCGGGGTGGGGGGGTGGTCAGGGGCAGAGGGAGAGACTCTTCAAGCAGACTTCCCACTGAGCATGGAGCCCCATGCAGGGCTCCATCTCACAACCCTAAGATCATGACCTGAGCCAAAACTAAGAGTTGGATGCTCAACCCACTGAGCCACCCAGGCGCCCCTATTGACTTCTTCTAATTATTAAATTTCTGTTAGGAAAACTGTTTCTTGTTTCAGGATGGAAGGCAATATATCCCCATTTCATGATGTGAACTTTGCGGCTTTGAGGTGCTCTATAGTAAGGCTTTGAGTTTCAGAACCACTGACTTCCTCAGCAAGTTTAAATTCTGTTCTCATATTCAAGGCCGTCAGAATTACGCTACTTTTCCATTATCATCATTGCCTGTTATATCCTTATAAACCACTTGCCCTAACCTTAAGTGCACTTGATCTGTTATGCCTCCTTGCCTCAGTCCTCTTAGTTTATCTGGTATGAATTTTCCTTCTACCTCTCTGCTCAGCAAATTCCATCTTTGGCCCACTCCTCTGTTGATCCCCTCAAGCAGTTGCTTTGTCCTCTGTATTTCTACAATTTATAATGTACCATAGGGATAATTATGATATATATAACAACTATGTATATGTAAGTGCCCTAATTTTCTATTTATTGATTTCTGCCACAGTGATTTTAGTTTTCCTTCCCTTATCCTTTTCATACCTTCTATTCATTTACTTATCAATTACGTTCTGATCATCTAGCATGTGCAAGATCCATCCTGGCAACTGGGGATTCAGAAGACACTAAAACAAACAAAAGTCCCTACATTCTAGCAGGTTAGAAGTAAACAATATAGGTCTTGATATTTATTATAAAGGAAAAAAACAAAACAGAACAGAAAAAAAAAAGCAAAGCAAATGCTAGAAGGAAAGCCTGTAACTGTCTTAAATGTGGCCATAAAAAGTGGTATCTGAATAAAGCTCTGGGGGAGGTGAGAGACTGAGCCATAGATATCTAGGGGGAAAAGAGTTTCCAGGACATTGGAAGGGGAAGTGCAAAGACCCAAAGTCTGCAGCCTAGCATATAATCTTATAGCTGATATCAGTTTGAATAACTCCAGAAGACACCGAAACACTTACAAGACAGCCCAGTAGTAATGAAGAAATCCCAGGCAAAGATCAAGCAGCAATAACTTACTGGCCCTGCAATTTTCTCCTGCTGACTTGGCATTTTGGCAACTTGCTCAGCACAGACAGTCCAACTTGGGAACAAGTAAGCTCCCTGTATCTTATGTACCAAGTAATAGATAGATTCTTGATAAAAAGCCAAGGGTATAGGCAAAAGTATGACTTCTCTGGTTTCATAGCTTTATAGTATGATCCAAAAATCTCTTCCCCTTAGTTTGTACTGCTTGTCCTTCAATTTGTTTATTCAGTTAAGCATCACTTATTCAAATCCCATTTAAGTGCTCATCCGGACAGATACCCATTGCAAGGACTATTTTAAAGCTGTTCTGGGATCCTTTCCCATCAGTTGTTCCACACGTGCCCAAACACATTTATATTTGTGACTCTATGTAATAATCAGTACCTATTTTTAAATGCTTATTTCCAGTATATACAAGCCATTCATAAACCTCATCACTGATGCAGAGTGTGTCATATTTGATGCAAAGGTCAGCAATTATTTGGAGTTCCTCTTTGTTATATACCTATATGTGTTAAAGAAAACAAAAGAGCAGAGCCAATTATGATTCAACACGTGAGAAAATGATAGAAGAGAAGACTGTATAAAGAGATCAAAGACTCACCTTGCCAATGGGGTTATGTGGAGTATTCAGTATAATAGCTTTGGTTTTAGAATTAAATTTACTTGCCAGTTCTTGAGGATCCAATGTCCAGTCAGAACTGGACCATTTTTTCCCATCGACAGGTTTCTAAGTATGAAGAATCAAAATGTGATTTAATTCAATTAATTCATGTTTGCTGTCTTACAAATAAATGCTTTACTGGGAAAAAAATAGAGAAAGGTAAGGCAAAGGTAACTGAACAAATGACTAACAAAGAAAATAAGCAGAAATCACTAAGCCTTAAGAGCCCAAGAGGACTTGAGTCTCATGCTGACACCTATTAAATGGGAAAATAAACTCTTGTTGACATAAACAGCTGTTAAAGTGTCTATGTTCCTTCAAAGGAGCCAACCTATAACGTTGGTTAGCAGGTCTGGTACTTTAGGGCTAAGATAAGATTCTGTGATTCACCTTAGTGTATTACTTATTTTAGTAAGGTTTTTAAAAAGACAATGGTAGCACACTTTATTAAATTCCTAAAAATAAAAGCAAAATTTAAAAAAATTCACTTTATTCAGAATTCAACAAGCATTTATGGAGCACCCAGCATACATACCCTACACTGTTAGTCACTGGGGAGCAGTGCTATGAAAGTGAGTTAGAAATGGTCTCTGAGCTGGTGGTGCTCATGTTGGTGGGGGAGACACATAACTACAAAAGATAACATGACATATAATGTGAATGCTGATACAACAGAGACACATGGCAAAAACAGAATAAAGTAATCAAAGTTGTCCTCTTCAAGATGTTGGTTACCTTCAGCCATAGTAGAGATACACAGTAAATCCCAAAAAGTAATCAAAGTGGAAACTTCATCAGGGACAAAGCAATTCTGTATATTTTCAAAACATCTTAAAGCATGTGAATGATGCTAGCAAACTTACAGATCGTAGGGGAATAAAAACAGGTGTTGCTCCAGCCATTCTCACCATAGGCTCATAACAGTCATAGAAAGGCATTATTATTATGACCTAAAATGAAACCAAATAAGAATTTAACATATCAATTATTCATTTGTTTAAAAAATACTGTGGGAGTCCAACCCAGAAGTCACAGATTTCATGAAGTGGAAAGGTTTTGGCAAAGATTTTAAAAGACTAGAATCTTTATATATTCAAAAGCTTTTGGGTATTGTTTCAACTATAAACAAGGGAGCCATAGTCTGGCAAGAGGTTTTTGATGATCATGCGAAGTTTCAGCCAGGCACAGTATTAAAAAATACTGTATCATATGATCTCACTGATATGAGGAATTCTTAATTTCTGGAAACAAACTGAGGGTTGATGGAGTGGTGGGGGGTGGGAGGGATGGGGTGACTGGGTGATAGACATTGGGGAGGGTATGTGCTATGGTGAGCGCTGTGAATTGTGCAAGACTGTTGAATCACAGACCTATACCTCTGAAACAAATAATACATTATATGTTAAAAAAAAAAGAAGATAGGAGGAAGGGAAAAATTAAGGGGGGGAATCGGAGGGGGAAATGAACCATGAGAGACTACGGACTCTGAGACACAAACTGAGGGTTCTAGAGGGGAGGGCGGTGGGGGGGATGGGTTAGCAAAAAAAAAAAAATACTGTGTACCTACTATGTGTAAGGCATTATACTACATGCTGAGATGCAGCAGTGAAAAAGCTGGCCTTCCTTGCCTTCATGGAGCTAACAGCCAAGTGGAAAAGACCTTAGAGATATACTTGTCCAGGAGTCCTTGGTCTTTTAATGAGATCTACAGAGGGCTTGCAGTGGGGATGCTTGAAATTATATGTAAAACTTTACATGTGCCTAGGTAGGTTTTCCTGGGGGAAGAAGCCATAGGTCTCATCACATCCTCAAAGGAATGTTCCAGCCAAAACATTAAGAATTTCTTTAAATTTTAAGTTACAAAATAAAATATCAGAGTGGGGCAGAAGCCAAAGTCTATAAGGGAAGATAACACAGCAATGCTCTCCATTATGGGTTACTACTTTACAAGTATTATCCTGAGAGTAAAGATGTTTCTCTCTGCTCAAAAGCACTCCAAAACAAAGACTGGATGCAGGGAGACTAGTTAAGATGCTACTTATATCTAGATTCAGTCTTTTTTCCTAGCCCCTTGAGATAATATTCCTCGTTCCTTGACCTCTACGTGCTCTCTCTCAATCACCTGTGGGCTGGCTTTTAAGTCAGTCAGTAGGCCAACCTGTCCGGTTGGTATTCCATCCACAAACCACCAGCCTAAATCTAGCATCCTTTTTACTTTTCTATAAGGAAAGTTTGAACACATAATTTATACCCATCATATATATTCAATTTTTATTTATGTGTGTATATATATATATATATATAATATAGAAATATATTTTAGAGAGAGAGCACACAAGTGCAGGGGGGAGGGGTGGTGGGAGAGAGGGAGAGGGAGAGAGAGACTCTTAAGCAGGCTCCACGTCCAGCCTGACGCGGAGCTCAATCTTATAACCTTCAGATCATGACCTGAGCTGAAATCAAGAGTCAGACACTTAACCAACTGAGCCAGCCAGGTGCCCTTCTTTTAATCTTTTTAAACCTAGTAATATTTCATGAAAATTTCCTATTATTATAGTTTTAATATTTATTATCTTAATGGCTACTTGAGAGCCTTCTGAATTCTAGAATAGATTTTTTTATCATTTACTTGTATAAATAACAATGCTGGAGCACCTGGGTGGCTCAGGTGGTTGAGCATCTGACTCTTGATTTCAGCTCAGGTCATGATCCTATGATCGTGGGACTGAGCCCCATGATGGGCTCTGTCCTTAGGGAGGAGTTGGCTTGAGATTCTCTCTCCCTCTGCCCCTCCCCCCACTAGTTCCCATGTGTGTGCGCTCTCTCTCTCTCTCTCTCTAAAATAAATAAATCTTTAAAAATAAATAAATAAATAGCAATGCTATATTTGTGAGTATATGTAGTTTCTCCACTTTTAAATAGATGAATAAATTCACATGATTGCTATTGCTAGATTAAAAGGTATAAACATTTTTTTAAAGATTTTATTTATTTATTTGATAGAGAGAGACACAGTGAGAGAAGGAACACAAGCAGGGGGAGTGGGAGAGGGAGGGGCAGACTTCCTGTGGAGCAGGGAGCCCAATGCGGGGCTCGATCCCAGGACCCTGGGATCACGACCTGAGCCGAAGGCAGATGCTTAATGACTGAGCCACCCAGGCGCCCCTAAAAGGTATAAGCATTTTTATGGCACCCTATACAGACAGCCAAATTGCTTTAGAAAAATTGAGTAACTATAATTTCACAAATCAACACTACGTTGTCTCACTTAACTTTTGTTGGTTAGATTAGTGATACCTAATTGTTGTTCTAAATTTGCACTTTTTACTGTGTATTTCTTATGATGTGAAATACCTGCTCAAAGGCCTTTCTCATTAAAGTCATATAAGGGCCTTACATTCTAAAGCCCCTTTGTTTGCGCTAGTCATTCAATTCACACTGAGCACCTACTGTACAGTCTACTATGTTAGGTGTTAGCTACTGTGAAGGGCAAAGAAATCAATCTTTGTTCATTCCCTTTGGGAAGGGATCTTTCCCTCAAGTGGACTGTAAGTTCCTAATTAGTCTGTGAAATTCTGAGAGACCAAGACGACCTATCTTTGAACCCTAGTGAGAAACACAGGTGCCTGCTTTGAAGTGAGAGCTCAATAAAGGAAAATAAATTGGGGAGGCAGGGAGGTAAAATTGAAAGAATATGCTTGACACTCTTTGCTGCAATTTCTTTATTTTTATGATGGGAATAATTCCCCTCTCTTTCTGAAGAGTATTTATTGAGTACTAAGTATTTTAAGGACTGGCTGTACAGCAATAAACTGGTTCTCCTGGAACTTATGTTCTACTGAGAGAGACAAAAAAACAAGAAATCACGGAAGTAAATTAGATAATTTCAGATAGTAATAAATGCTATAAAGGAAAGACGTGTGTGGTTTCAAAATATCAGATACAGTGATCAGGGAAGAAAGAATAGAGAAAAGAAAGTCAAGGGCTGAGCCTTGGGATGCTCCAGCAGAACGCAGAAGGAGGAAGCAACAAAGCATTAACATCAAAGAATGAGATAAAACTTTCAACTAGTTTATAGGATTAAAGGAGATTATGTATATGAAAATATACCTGTACTTCCTTAAGATGTTTCCTTAAGTAGTTTATTGTCTGGCATAGGAGAGGGAATTAGAGATGTATCAGAATAACATAATACAAAGTAACAGCAGTATCTTTTATAGAAGAGGTATAGGGAAAGTGCCATGAGAGTTCAAAGAAAGGAATTAACAACATAGATCCGGGTAAATATTTATTCTTCAGACTTAAGCAATGCCTCTCTGGAGTCTTCCAGGCCGTCACCACCATAACTTACACATTGTCCACCACTGACTGTCACACGCATTCCAATTCACCAGTTTGCGAGTATCTCCTCTACTAGAGGGGGAACTCCTCCCACAGAGAAACTGTCTTTTAAGAATCTCCTGTGGTGCCTAGCATAGGAGACCATCAGTGATTTCTGAATAAATGAAGAGGTCAGGAAATACTGAAGCAGGGGTCCTGGAAAGATGATGGGGACACAGGGGCAGAGCTGACCGAGTCTGGAGCCATGTGGGTCACAGTACTAAAGCAGAAATCACTCATCCTTCTTGTTACACATGGTGCTATTAACAATGTTGGGCACAAAAACACACTGACCAAATACTCCCTGACTGAGTTCAGATAAGGGTAATTTTAGTCGTGCAAAATGAAAGACTCATTTTCCCCATCATTGCTAGCCCCGTCCACTTACCCTTATCTAAACAGGCTGTAAAAATAAGAATGAGTCACATGCCACAAAATAGATGAATCTCACAGACATAATGATAAATGAAAGAAGCCGTTCAAGAGTACATACTGTGTGATTCCATTTATATCAGGTTAAAGAGCAGGTAAAATGAGCCTATGGTGATACAAGACAGAAGAGTAGTTACCTCTGGAAGAATATAAACTAGGCAGGGGCAAAAGGGAGCTTTCTAGGTGCTAGAAATGTACTATATCTTCATCTGGTTTGTGGTTACATGGACACATATACACACATATATAAATATACACATGTAAACAATTTATAAAGCCGTATACTTACGATTTGTGAATTTTACTCATGTGTACTATACTTCAAAAATTATTAAAAATAAATGTAAAATAAATAAAAGATTCAGAGGCAGTACAAATGATAATAATTGATATAGGTAAGATGATAATGTTAATATACTTACTTCATCTCCCTCATCAATTAATCCTTCAATGGCATTAAAAAGAGAGCCATACGCTCCTACTGTCACAAGGATTTCTTTATTTGGATTGATTTGATTTTGATAAAATTTTTCATATAAGCAGGCTAGAGCTTTCACAAGCGATGGATGACCCTGTTGAATAAAAAAGAGGGAAAAAAATCTTGAATTTGATTATGGGATCTACTTCTTGGAGGTACTCTGGATCTAAAATGAAAGAATTTTTAAAATTTAGGTTTTATGTTTATAATTATCCAAGGAAAATTTGTATTTTTTAATGGAAATAAAAAAAAACATTTTGCACTACTTTCAGAGGATTCCTACATGAAGGATCAGGAAAACTTGCTAATGACTAAGAAAAAAAAAAACCCTAGTAAACAATTGGTTTTGGAATTTAAAATTCCAATGTATTTGTTTTGATAAAAATTGGCTTCAGTACCAAATATATCTTTGACAGTACATTTTTTGACAGCAATCAAATCACATTCAATTATTTTTGACAGTAATTAAATTATATTGGATAGAGTTGGACTTTTTTCCCAGTTAAAATAAGAAAACCTGCATTGTCTATATATCCTGACTCTGTTCTTCCATGTCACCAAAGAGAAGGCTATTATGCCAACCAACGGATTATGGAGAGAGGGCAAAAACAAATTCCCCAAAGAAACGCACATTAATGCTCATGTGAGAGTTATGTTAGGAGGAAGTAGGACATTCTTCACCACATGAGAGCCAAGAGGGGAGGAGTCATCCAAGCAAACAACAACATTCACCAGAGGAATGAAGGGGACTATAAATGCACAAACTCTGAGACATGTAAGGAGTTTTTGTTTTTTTTTTAAGATTTTATTTATTTATTTGTCAGAGAGAGAGAGAGGGCGCAGGGAGGGGCAGAGGGAGAAGCAGGCTCCGCACTGAGCAAGGAGCCCGATGTGGGACTTGATCCCAGGACCCCAGGATCATGACCTGAGCCGAAGGCAGACGCTTAACTGACGGAGCCACCCAGGCGTCCCTGTAGGGATTCTTAACTCCTTCATTCGCTCTTTCTTGATTCTTCTCTTCTTCTATGTTCTCTGCGCTTGCCTCCTTCTCTTTCTTTTCTTCCCTTTTCCCCTCCTTGTCTTATTTGGTATTGAAGTCAGTATTTCTTATTGCTTATTTTTTCCTAGCATGTAGCTCCTTTTTTTGCTTTTGGAGAACCACCTTGATTTTCTGTCAGTTGCAAGTAAGAGTCCAAGTGCAGGGCACCTAGGACTCTGGAGTAATAAACTGGGTCAGGATACAGGACAAGAGGGAGGCTGGTAGGATATACCCCAGGTTTATGAAGTAAAATAGCCTTTGGTCATGTTAAGTTATCCATCCCAGCTCATACGAAAAGGAGGCATTTTTTTTGTTTTTTGTTAAAGATACTTTTGTTGTCACCTTTGACAGAATGTTGGCTAGTATGTCACAGTGCCTCACCCAATTAAAATTAACAAAAACAAAGCTGTAGTATATTTTTCATATTTTGAAATTAGCAGATATTATAATATTAGAGAAACTGGGTATAATTACTAATGAGGGGGTGACAGAACACAGCCAGTAAACTAAAAAATAATAGCAAGGGAAAAAGACTACTTAAATTCAAGCTCCAAAAAAATACACAGAATTTGTGAAAAGAGCAAGGGAAGATTGTCACCACTCCTGGAAATCCAAAATTTCCTTTGAATTTCATTTTAATAACAGGTCTAACAAATTCTAGCAACGGATGATCTGAAAGCAACCATAAACACTATACATGTTTTCTCAGAATAATAATGGTCTGTGTTTTTTTAAAAATTTTAATTACAAAAATAATGCATTCTTCATATAATAATTAAAACTAGGCAAGGTTGTGTTAAAAAGAATTATGATCTCTCCTCAACAACACTTCCTTCACATCTCCCTAAGGTGACCAATGTCTTCTACAGCCTGATGACAGTGCAATACCATACCCCGTGCTTATTCCAATATAAAAACACATATATACATATACTCACATATATTTACAAAAACTGGAAAATATTTAAAGAATGGGCATAGGCTACAGCAAAGGAAACAATCAACAAAACTAAAAGGCAATCTACAGAATGGGAGAAGATATTCGCAAATGACATATCAGATAAAGGGCTAGTATCTAGAATCTATAAAGAATGTATCAAACTCAATACACAAAAACAAAAAATCCAGTCAAGAAATGGACATAAGGCATGAGCAGACATTTCTCCAAAGACATACAGATGGCCAACAGACACATGAAAAAATGCTCAACATCACTCATCATCAGGGAAATACAAATCAAAACCACAATGTGATATCACCTCAACCTGTCAGAATGGCTAAAATTAACAAGTCAGGAAATGACAGATGTTGGCAAGGATGTGGAGAAAGAGGAACCCTCTTACACTGTTGGTGGGAATGCAAACTGGGGCAGCCACTCTGGAAAGCAGTATGGAGGTTCCACAAAGAGTTAAAAATAGAACTACCCAGGGCACCTCGGTGGCTCAGTCAGTTAAACCTCTGCCTTCAGCTCAGGTCATGATCCCAGAGTCCTGGGATCGAGCCCTGCGTCAGGCTCTCTGCTCAGCGGGGAAGGCTGATTTTATCTCTCCCTCTGCCTGAGGCTCCCCCTGCTTGTGCTCTCTCTGTCAAAAAAATAAATAACAATCTTAAAAAAAAAAGAAAAAAACTACCCTGTGATCCAGCAATTGCACTACTAGGTATTTATCCAAAAGATACAAATGTGCTGATTCAAAGGGGTACTTGCACCCCAATGTTTATAGCAGCAATGTCCACAATAGCCAAAATATGGAAAGAGCCCAAATGAATGGATAAAGAAGATGTGATATACATATATATATACATATACACACATATATACTAATTCAAAAGAAATAGGCACCCTATGTTTGTAGCAGCGTTATTTACAATAGCCAGACTGTGGAAGCAGCCCAAGTGTCCATCGAGAGATGAATAGATAAAGAAGATGTGGTGTATATATATTTATGTGTATATATACAATGGACTACTACTCAGCCATCAAAAGAATGAAACCTTGCCATTTGCAACAACATGGATGAGGCTAGAGAGTATAATGCTAAGTGAAATAAGTCAGTCAGAGAAAGACAAATAGTATACGCTTTCACTCATATGTGGAATCTAAGAAACAAAACAAACAAAGGAAAAAAGAGAGAGACAAACCAAAAAACAGACTCTTAACTACATAGAGAACAAACGGGTGGTTAGCAGAGGGGAGGTGGGCGGGAAGATGGGTGAAATAGGTGACAGGGATTAAGAGTACACATCGTGATGTGTACCGAGTAATGTATAGAATTGCTGTATTGCAATATTGTACACCTGAAACTAATATAACACTGTACGTTAACCATACTGGAATTAAAAAAAAAAAAACCTGGAAAAAAAAGAGAGACGATTCTCCCTCCCTCGTTGCCATCAGACCCTATAAGTAAAGGAAAGACCAAGATAAGACTGTGGAGGGGTTAGAAGTTGGGGACGGCTCCTTCTAGGAGGTAAGGGCAAGGGTGGTGGTCCCTCTGATTATTAGGTTGGGTCAGCTGGTCCCAGAAAGCCAATTACACAGAAGTGACAGGAGTACATTCACACAAAATACAATATAAAATACAAGTTCATGCCCCACATGGTCTTCATATACTTACAAAGCCTCGTGTATACTGGTTCAGGCTATCAATTGCTGCAATTTCCGATAATTTCTCCTTTACATATATAGGAGGGGATATATCTGGAAGGCCTTGACCAAGATTCACAACAGAGGGGTCTGCAGCCAACTTTGTAAATTCAGTCCTAAAATTAAAAAAAATACTAATAAGTACCATAATTACAAAGTTAGAGTTTTATACCTCATGATCTTAACATAAAACTGAAAAACTAAGACCTAGTTTAGTCTTACAAATAAAAAAAAAAAAATGAGTTCCCAAAAAAACTTTACCACTTACGAAATGACTTTGTCTAATTAAATGATGGCTGAACTAATGAACTTAGAAGTTTCTTACAAATCTCAATTTCTTGATACCCAACTAAGAATACCAAAATGTGTAGGAAAAAAGCATCACCAAATTATTGTTGTTTATTCCAAGGTACTCACCACACATTACTATCAAGGCCTTCAATTCGTTTTGCATTGATGATTTTCAAAGACATCTTCTGAAACATACAAATATTGAAAGATTTTTTAAAATTTCCTTAATCAACAAAAAAGCCAGAAAATCACGGATAGCTCTACCTTTTCCCTACTGTTGCCATGGAAAAAAGCAGTACCATAACGACAAATGCCAGACCCCAAAATACAAAATTCTGAAGTGCAATCATCTCCCACCTACTGCCCTAAGGAATGCTTTCTCTTATGATCCTTAGATGATTATCTTCTCACAAAGAAACAAAAATATCACCCTCGCCTAAAAAAATAAACCAATTTGAGGGCCTGAAACGTACTGAAGAGAACAATAATGATACTAAAAAAAGTCAGTTTAAAAAAAATACCTTGAGTCATTCTCTGAAGATCATTTTTGGTAAGATGGACCGACAGTTGCACGAGTACACGCCTTGGATGGCATACAGGAAGGAAGCACTCAACAAATGGTTTTAAAACTACGCAATAGAGAGCCCCAGATCATGACAGCTCACATTATTGAGTCCTGAGCACATAGCACATAGCAGGCACTGTTCTAAGTGTTGTACATAATTAAGTCATTTCATAGTCACAACAACCCTACATAATGGTCCTCTTATTACCCCTAATTTCTGTAGGAGCAAAGCGAGATACAGAGGATTAGATTACAGAACTTTACACATCTGCCCACGTTGACAGAAGCTAGTAACATTTAAACCCAAACAGATTCAACTCAGGTTTTGAACCCAGGCAGTTTGACTCCAGAATACATACTCAGATTTCTTTCCTTTTTTTCATTTTTTAGATTTTATTTATTTTTAGAGCAGGGGAAGGAGCAGGGGGGGGGAGAGAGAGAGAGAGAATGTCAAGGAGACTCCAAGTTGAGCGCAGACCCCAACGCAGGGCTTGATCCCACAACCCTGAGATCAGGACCCGAGCTGAAATCAAGTGTTGGACACAACCGACTGAGCCACCCAGGCACCCCCTGATCTATTTCTATATACTGTCTTTATGTAACATGACCTTATAAAAAATATTACCAGAATGCTGCCTCCTAAAAAAAAGTGTACTAGACATTTAGATCAGGTCTCCTTATATCAAGCAAGCTAGGGCTATGGTAGAAAAATATTAAAAGTTAAAATTATGGTACAGCATACAATTTCTTAGTTCTCTAGATTTTAAAGTTAAGTTTATACTCTCTCCCCAAAGCACTAAATTAGTGTTGAGTTCACTGTTAACAAGCTGCTAGGGGAAAAAAATGATTGGCAGCATTTTTATAAAGATTTTCCTAGTAGAATATTAAAGCAATTTTAATTCAATCTGGGAGGAAGATAATGATAATGGTTATTAAATAGACCATTGTTCTCATTCTATTCCAACAATGGAGCCAAGAAAAATATTTTTTTACTCTCATATTTTTTAATCTTTGAAACTCCAGTGAAGTAAATCACATGCAAATTCTCCAGAGGTTAAGGTGCCTTCCAGAATAGCATTATGATTAAGTACCCACCTGAACATGATGCTATTCTAGAAACTACAATTATAAAACTATAAAGTCCCAGAATGATAGACAGAAAAGATATTTTAACAATTGTCTTTTGCCATTAAAATGTTTAAAACTTAATGATTCATTTAGCAAGTGGCTGCAAACACAAAGTACAAATTCATATATAAACAAGTGAGAAAAGTCTGCAGCAGATAATTTAGACACAAAGTCCAATTTTACTTAAAATATTTAGATCATTGAAGGCTTTTTTATTTAATTTTATTTCCAGATTTAATTTTAAAATCTGTGTCCAGAACAGCCTCTCTCTCACAACCTCCCTGCCTCTGCTCCTTCCCACCTCTATGCCTCAACCATTTTAATATTCGAAATATTCCATTTTATTTCTGTAGCTTCACATATGATCATTCCTCTACCTTAGTGGTCTTTCTACACCAATGTTTCCCAACCTTTTTTTCATCACTGCCCCCATAAGGAGACCTTTTAGATATTTCTTCAAATCATCTCCCCTACTGCCCCATAAATTAAGGAGTTTTGTCAGATAGAACTGAGGTTTACAAGGTCACAAAACATTGTAATAGCTATGGTTGGTTTCACCTGCCAAGCACCAATTTTCTCCCCTTGAGAGCAACAATGCCCCTGTTGAGAATGAATATTCTATACTTAATTCGATCCCCGCTCCCCACCACCCTGTCTCTGCACTTGGCTAACTCCTAATCCACTTGCCACTTTCAGTTCTCAAGTTAGACTTCATTTCCTCCAGAGAGTGTTTTCTGATTCCTAGGTCAAGGTTATATGTTCTTCCTACGTACTCCTATTACATGGAGTACTTTCCAGCATTTACTATATAACACTGTAATTTTCCTGTTTATTTATCTATATCCTTCCTTACACTGTAAACCCTGAGGATTAGTTCTAGCTTGTACACTGGTATGTGTCTGCATTACTCAGGTTTCTCCACAGAAACAGAAGCAATACAGGATGTGCATATATATATATATAGTGATTCAAGGAATTGGCTCGTGGGACTTGCACAGGCTAGCAAGTTTGAAATCTGCAGAGCAGTCTGGCAGTCTGAAGGCAGAATTCCCTCTTCCTGGGGGGAAGCTTAGATTTTTCTCTTAAGGCCTTCAACTGAGTGGATCAGGTCCACCCATATTCTATAGAGGGCAATTTACTTAAAATCTACTGATTTCAATGTTAATCTCATTTGGAAAACGCCTTCAGAGACATCTACACTGATATTTGAACAAATATGTGGCTTCCTTGGCCGAGCCAAGTTGACATAAAATAGACTATCACAGTGTCCAACATGTAGAACTATGCTCAGCACATAGTAATTTTTCAACAAATATCTGATGGATGAATGCAAAAATCTACACAGTAGAAGTAAACCTATGGTATCAGCTTCAGTTAGGTACTTATTGTATCAGTCAGCTTAAATTAATTTATGCTTCAGTAACAAAGGACCCCAAAGTCTTGGTGGCTTAAAATCATAAAGGTTTCTTCTTCATACTACAAACCAACCGAGGGTCAGCTGCTGCTTTGTTACATGTCACTGTCACTCTGAGACATGAGCTGATGAAATAGCTTCTTTTTGGAATACTGTTAGTTTCATAGCAGAGGGAAAAAAATTTTAATTTCTGCTTAGATGTGCACATACCACTTCTACTCAAATTGTATTGTACAAGGCAATTCATTGCTATGGCTGATACCAACATGGCAGAAATGAAGTCTGGAGGTACAATGACTGTTGTGGGTTGAATTGTGTAAACCCCCCCCCCGATTCATATTGAGGCCCTACCACCCAGTACCTCAGAATGTGACCTTATTTGGAAATAGGTTCATTGCATATGTAATTTGCTAAATTAAGGTCATGGGTTGTGGGGAGGATAATCTGATGACAGTGTCCTTATAAAAAGGGTGAATTTGGAGACAGTCTGGTATATAGGAAGAATGTCACATGAAAATGAAAGTGATATGTTTGAAAGTCAGGGAATGCTAGCAATTGAGAGCAAACCACCAGAAACTAGGGGAAAAGCATGAACAGACTCTTTCTCACATCATACAGAAGAAACCAACCCTGGTACACTTTGCTCTTGGGCTTTTAGCCTACCAAACTGTGAGCTAACACAGTTTTGTTGCTTTAGCCACTCAGTTTGTGGCACTCTGTTAAGGCAGCCAGAGGAAATTAATACAGTGATGAATATTTACAAGATACCCAACAGTGTCTAAAAACATCAAGATTCAGCAGTAGATGCAAATGCTCACTATATAAGAATTACTGTCCAGAGTAGATCCAGTCTTATGAAATGAAAATAAACCTGGAATCTCATGGGGAATTAAGTATGAGCCTCAGGTGTGTGATGGGAAATCTACAGGGCCTATATAATTTCTGGACCAGCTACTCCATGAGCTTGTTTCTGCTCCCAAGTAAATTAATACCTGGTATACATAATATTGCATTGCTATGTTATAAACACAAAGATGCTAGTGAAATAATAAGCAGCATCTTTTTTTGTCCACTTGAGGCTGTAAAGTGCAGTTCTGCAGAATCACCACTAGGTGCCACTCTTGGCAGAGATGAGAAAAAGCTTACTGCTAATTCTCTCTAAAATGGTTACTGCAATGGTGTTGGCACAAGGAAAATTTGGAAAGAAGAAAAAATATTACCCATTATCCTAAGACTCTAGCATACTAAAGTTTCGGGGACTCTGCCTGTAAGACTGCTGCTTTTAGGTCAGATAGGATAGGTGTAGAAAAAGTCTTCCCAAATGATGGGTTAAAGCTGGGGAAGCTGAGGCTGTTAGTATCCATGAAGCTGAGTCAATGAGTCTATGCACTGAGTCAAGCGTAAAAAGATAAAGAGTGCAAGAAAAGGTCAGAAACAGAAATGACAAAGCTGATGGTTAGAGAGAGGTGAAGACAATAATCAGACATGAGAAACAGACCCCAGTACTTCAAGACTAGGCTGGAGCAGAAAGCAACAATATGATGGGGACCCCTCTAATGTGGTGTCTGGCTGCTGGGGCAGCCAAAATATCCATTATCTTTCAGATCTATGTTGCAATCACATGTAATTTTTAAAATATTTGCCTTTTCTTTTAAGAGAGTATCTTAAACATTTATAAATTTTCTCAGTCATAAAATTTTCACTTTTGATTAGCAGATATTATTTCAGGTTCTTTACTCATTCATTCCCTATCGTTTGGGCATTTGTTATTCCCAATGTTTTGCAATTATAGGTAGTGTGTTTCTACTGTGCATTTAATTACAGGGTTCCTATTCTGTTTCCTTCAGTTTTAAAGTTTGATGTGGAGGGGAATGCTCTACTATAACACAGATGAAATATCATCAATATATAGTGATCTAGTTCCAGCAAACTAACTAAACACACAACTTTTTATTTACTTTTATGGAAAATGTAAGGTATAAAATTTGATGTTCCAGCAACCACAGTGATGACACTTAGTATTATTTCCCTTCATTCCTCAGCACTTACTTCCTAAATGTCTTTTTTAAAAATATTTT